TGGAGCAAACCCCTGGGTTTGTTGCTCAGGGGGAGTCTTCTGGGATGGTATGTCGTCTTCGCAAATCCCTATATGGCCTAAAACAGTCTCCTAGGGCTTGGTTTGGAAAGTTTAGCAAGGTTGTTCAACAATTTGGTATGACTCAGTGTGAATCAGATCATTCTGTCTTTTATCGACACTCGAGTGTTGGATGTGTTTACTTGATAGTATATGTTGATGACATCGTTCTTACAGGTAGTGACAACCATGACATCTCTCAGTTGAAACAACATCTCTGTCACCATTTTCAGACCAAAGATCTTGGCAAACTTAGATATTTCTTGGGTATTGAGGTGGCACAGTCCAATGATGGTATTGTTATATCTCAGAGGAAGTATGCCATAGATATTTTGGAGGAAACTGGGTTGATGAGTTCAAAGTCCGTTGATACACCCATGGATCCCAATACTAAACTTCTACCAAATCGGGGGAGCCTATATCCGATCCTGAGCAGTATAGAAGATTGGTTGGAAAATTGAATTATCTTACGAGTTACTCGTCCTAACATTTCCTTTGCGATCGGTGTGGTAAGTCAATTTCTTAATTCACCATGTGAAGATCATTGGAATGCAGATCATTCGTATTTTGAAGTATATTAAAGGATCTCCTGGAAAAGGATTGTTATATGGTTCTAATAACCATACAAGAGTTGTTTGCTACTCGGATGCCGATTGGGCGGAATCTCCTTCGGATAGAAGATCTACATCTGGATATTGTGTATCCATTGGTGGTAACTTGATCTCATGGAAAAGTAAGAAACAAAGTGTTGTGGCAAGATCCAGGTGCAGAAGCGGAATATAGAGCTATGGCCTCGGCTTCCTGTGAACTTGTTTGGCTCAAGCAATTGCTTAGAGAGTTACAATTTGGAGATGTCACTCAAATGACACTTGTGTGTGACAATCAGGCTGCTCTTCATATTAGTTCTAATCCTGTCTTTCATGAGAGGACCAAACATATTGAGATTGACTGTCATTTTATTCGAGAAAAGATTATGTCTGGAGATATCAAGACTGAGTTTGTTAACTCAAGTGATCAGTTAGCAGATATTTTTACTAAATCTTTACGGGGTCCTAGAATTGATTATATTTGTAACAAGCTTGGCACATACGATTTGTATGCTCCAGCTTGAGGGGGAGTGTTAGATATTGTTTAGATATTATTTGATATTGTTAGATATTGGTAACCACAATATCAAACAATATCTTCTGTTTATTTTGTTACTTTTAGTTACTCTTTTAGTTGTATCTCTCTACTATAAATAGACCACCCTATGTGTGATTTATACACAAGGGAAATTAATTCCAAACCCTATTTTCTCTATATTCAACAATATATATATATATATATATATATTGTCTATTTTCTCTTTTCGAGTATTATAATTATATAAATGTTTAATTAATTGTTATCATTTGTTTAGGAGGACTTGCGTCGTGCTAAGCATAAAAAACAACCTATTATTGATGAGGATTTGACAGAATGTGATGATGATCCCATCTCTATGTTGTTGACCATATTACCACGGTTGAGGAAGAGACCGGTGTCGGATAATATGGGATGTTAGAGTGTTTGGAATTGACAATTACAGTGTTCCATTATACATTTCCTTGCCCGATGCTTTAGAAATTGCTTGGGGAAATTGCATGTTAAACATTTCCATCATACAATTGTGGGCAATGTAAGTCATTCTCATTTATGTTTCTAAGATTATAATAATTATATTCAACTTATAATTAATTTTTTTAGGTACATTGACAAATTGAGTGTGCAACAAGAAAAATCCGAAGTATACGGATTTATTGAGCCTCAATCCATCAAAAAATCTGGAAATACAAAGGTTGGAATCCAACAATATATGCAAACATGGATGAGTGACTCAAAAAGACATATATATTTGGCTCCATACATTGAAGGGTTAGTATTTTAATTTGTATTTTAATTTATATTTTTGTAACTAATTTTTATGTCATACAATGTAGGTCCCATTGGCAGTTAATTGTAATCAAACCCCGGGATTACACTCGTGGTGTGGTTTTGTTCATTACATCGAAACCGAAGTCAAGAAATGAAAAGCTTATTACAAGGGTAACTTTATCTTTTATTCATTAATTATGTTTTTAAATTGTAAATACATATTGAATAATATATAACTTTTTTTCACTTAGAATCGTGTCTGGAACTAATGTTCTAAGTGGAAAACCTAGAACAAAGACTTTGCAGTTCATTTATCCTAAGGTTAGAAACTTATTTATATAAGTGAATACCATAATTATTGTTTGTATTTAAATTTTGAAAATAACATTATGTTTTTTTCATCATTTCATTGAAATAAGCAAACAGACTCGTTTGAATATGGTTACTATGTTATGTATTGGATGAGAGTCATAGTTTGTGCGGGTATAATTGATTCTTGGACGGAGGTAATTGCTTTTAACATTAGTTAGGTTTATTTAACTTTATTCATGTTGTACGTTTACAAGAGTCAAATTAATGTTTTAGGTATTTCAAGATCCATCTCTATTACCAGAATATGATATTACACATATTAGAGAACAATGGGCAAAATTTTTTGTTCAACAATTCTAGTACATAATTTTTTAAGTTCTTGTTCATATTATATTTTGTGTATTATGTAGTTTAGGTAGTTTAGTTTGTATTAACTTTTAGTTTGTAATAGATTTTTTAGTTTGTATGTTTGTATTATATTGTTTTATTATGTAGTTTGAATTATATAATATTATATTTTTAATTTACTAGCTAAAGAAAATTGAACCTATGGATCTGTCTGGTTGTAATATATATTTGCAGGTTTTAGTTGTAAAACAGAATCAACCCAATTTAAAAAAAACACAACAAATTTACGTCGCATATTGGTATATGTGACGTAAATTTACGTCGCGTATACCAATATGCGACGTAAATTTGCTGTTTTTTTTTTAATTTCTGAAAGTTTTTACGTCTATTTAATGGTATATGCAACGCAAAATTACGTCGAGTCTTGATAACTGACGTAAATTTACGTCGGGCTAAAGAGTCCGACGTAAATTTACATCTCCTGTTTTAACGTCAATCTTAAATACAACGTAAAAAGCCCTAAATACCGACGTAAAAGCCCCTTTTTGCACTAATGTCACAATATGTCGTCAAATAGTAACTAAACAAAAAAACCCGAGTTGAAAAATATAAATGAAAAGACATATATGTGTTTTTATATAAAAAATAAATAAAAATATAAACTTAAATAATATTTAAATAAATAATATGACAAATTATTTAATTAATATTATGTAAAATTCTATTCAACCTATCCATGTGATTTAATAATATTTTTTTCACCAAAATATAATTATTAAACAATAAAAGAAAATATCATAAAAATAATTTTTATTTATATATAATAAGTGAAATAACATATCCCACATTATAAATTTTTATTTATTGAAGGTATAACAATGACATAATACAGAAAAATAACATAATATCATTATTATGAGAATAATTTGATAAAGTTGATGAAATATTATGATATATAATAAAATAAGAAGATTCATAACATATTATGATATAATGACATTTAAATCTATAATACATTTAATAAGCATCAATCATATTTTACAATTTAATTTTAGGTTAAATAACTGAATATTAGTATTATATATAAGATATATCAACAATTAAATATTATTTCAATATATAATTAATTTATAAGATATTTTATTTATATATCATGAATATATACGGATAATTACATATTATAATATAATTTATTACTTTAAGGAAAAAAAATTGAACTTACATGAAAACGTTTTCTTTTTTAATATAAATAAAGTGTTAAAGAAAAAAAAGAGATTAAATTAAAAGAAAATGATATAAATTAAATTTTTATAACCTAAACATATAGAATGATGAGCGAACTTACAGATTAATTTATTTTAAAAAATAATAATTATATTTTAAAATATTAAAAATATTACTTTATTAATATATATATATATATATATATATTATAATATATGTATTAAATTATTATATATAAAATTAAATAAATTTTATTAGTATGTATTAAATTATTATATATAAAATTAAATAAATTTTATTAGTATTACTTAATATATATATATATATATATATATATATATATATATATTATTTTAAAACTTTTAAGTGGTATTTGACACTTCTAAGTAGAAACTCTCAACAATAATTTTTCAATTTTTAATTAAATATTTAGCTACGTTTACCAACGTAAATATGGACTCATATTTTAATAAAAATTCAAAAGCTTTTATTTGTCATATGTCATGGGAAACAAACACCTTTTGACTATATTATAGTTTTAATTCTAGAAATTATATCTTCTAATCACTTAAATTTTTAAGAATTCTTATTCTTAATACCTAATTTTATGTCATTTACTAATAGAAAAAAGATATTTTGACATCTCTATTCACATAAATAATTGCATTTTATATTATAATAATAATTTTAACTATTTTTTATTTTTATTTAAACTCTTTCATAATTATTATATTAATAAAATGAATTATTTTTTGGTTGTTTTTTCTTTCTGTTATCAAAAGATCATCACCCTTAGCAATAAGTTATCGCATAATAAAATTAGATTTGGATTCCTTAAAAAAAAAAAAAAAAAAAAATTAATGTAAGTTACAGTATTCGTGAAGGAGAACCTACATTTAAGCGCCCAAGCTAATCATCAATTTCCGAAACAGAAAAGCGAACCCAAAGCGCCGCCACTGCGGCACTGCATCATCATCCGGTGCCGGAAAAATCTTCCATCATAGGTCCTTCCATTCTCCCGTTCTCTCCTTCTTTTCTAATTTTTATTATATTTAATTTTCCATTAATTCTGATACCTTGCTTTCCGTTTGTTGTTTCATATGATTAGGGTGCCGGTTAGTGTTTGTATTTAGTGAAATCTTGGTGTGGTGAAGGGGAAAACAATGTCTCAGGGAACGGCAAGGTGCGCCACAGGCTTTCTGATCCTCACGCGCGCCCTCTCCACGGAGGCGCGTGCGGAGAAGGTGGAGCGCATCGCCAACGAGCTTCTCGATCTCAACAGGTTCGAGAGGCACGACTTCACCGTCCTCTGGCGGCTCAAGATGGGCCTCCACCGCTACGGTGCCCCGGTAGCCGGCGTTGTCATGCCATCCGTCGCGGCTGCTGGGTCCCCCCGGGAGGAGCCCGGTGCTACGGCGGAGAAGACGGCGTTTGATTTGAAATTGGAGAAGTATGATGCTGCTGCCAAGATCAAGATCATCAAGGAAGTGAGGTCCTTCACTGACTTGGGGTTGAAGGAAGCCAAGGACTTGGTGGAGAAGGTTCCCTGTGTTTTGAAGAAGGGGCTCACGAAGGAAGAGGCTAATCCCATCATGGAGAAGCTCAAGGAGTTGGGTGCTGCTGTTGTGTTGGAGTGATTCTGAATTTCTGTTCTATTGTTCTAAAGTTGTCTTAGTTGTAGAATCATCGAAACTTGTTTATGGTTAATTAATGATAAATTATAAGTTATTTGTCTTACCCTCCTTCCCTTCTATTTTATATTTTGTTGTTAGTTTATGTTATGTGATGATTTTGATAACAGTTGAAGTTTGGCGTTGGTAACCACTTTCAAAGGGTTCGTGTTGTGTTTGATCCTTGGAAAGGGGTGTGGTTGGTCTTTTATTGCTTTCATGGTTGATGAATTTTGTTAAAGTAAATGGTGGAGAGACATGGGAATAAAATCCCTCTCTATATTATGCACATTAGAGGAGCATGTATATATAGATATACAAAGAGATGGGCCTCGGCCACGTATTCAGCTACTTCTAACAAATATGTTAGGGAGGTCTTGGACACTGGGTGAGTGAAGTGCTTTGGAAAGTATAATGTTTATCTGATATTTGAAGAAAATATGTCATGTTGTTCAGGTTTTGATGATACCCTTTTAGCTGAAATACAAATATGTTGCAGAAAGCAGTTTTTTATTTGATTAAGAATAAAGGAAACATAAAAGTATATAAATGATAAAACCATGAAAAGTTTTAAAATAACTGTTTCCAATTATTATACAGCAGACCATGTTTAGGATGCTCAAATCAGGAACTAGGAATATAAAAGAGATAATTTCTAATCATATTTACTTCCACTCCCAATTCCTATCCAATTTTTTCCCTAATTTCTTAATGACTCTCTGTGATTGATAATATAATCAAATTTTTATTGTAAATTCAGTGTTTTTCTGATATCTGCTTTTCACATGTACTGAGAAGACAAGGAAAATGAAATTGATCATTTTTTCACTTGTAGTGATATTCTTCCGTTGCAGATGGGTTTATGTAAATTGAATTTTATAGCAAATTTGTTTTGTTAACATCAATGGGTCAGTCATTAATTTCCCATTCTCTGGGTTACTGAACAGTTTTGTCTTGTCAAGGATGAACATATTTTAGTTGTTGAGTCCTTGCTAGCATATTATGCGGGGTAATGCTTTAGCATTACCATTGCAAGGTCTTTACTCCATTTCAGATATCAGCATATTTATGCTTATGATATATGGTAGTATTGTTTTCTGATGTTTACCGTGCTAAGCTATATGTTTCAGGTTGCTGAGCTAGCTCTTTTACCACTATAGGATGAAAATAATCTATTGGAGAGAAATGGGAATTCATCTGATAGGTCCAATTAACAAATCTATAAATGGAAAGGAGAAAGAGAAGAGGGAGAACTGGAGGAAATAAATGGGCTGCTGGACTATAAAAGTTCTTGGGTATAGGCAAGTGAGGGAGCGACAGGTGGCATCTGAATTAGTGTAAAGGGAGGAGAGGCAGAAGAGATAACAGAATGGACATGTGGCCCCGGGAAATTGGAGGAAGGGATTAAAAAATCAGGCTGGAAAAGATTAGGGGGTGAGGGGTAACTAAAAGGATGGAGCAAAATTAGCAATTGGTGAGTGGTTTGGGCTGAGAGGAGATAAGTGGTCTCTCTTGGGAATTTCTGTTTCAATCATTTTACATGGAGAATAGCTCCATTCAATTGTTTTTCAATTCCTTCATAGCTACTGATATTACCTTGTAAAGAGGACTCGTTCTCTGTACAGAGAAGTTAACATTACATATCTCATTTTCTTCTGTTTTTATTCTATTTTTTGTCAATTTAGTATCAAAGCTCATCGAGGGAACTCATGGTATCAACTTGAATGGAAACAAGAATGGAAGATCTGAATGTTATTATCAAGAACTTCAGAGAAGGACTCAAGAACTTCAAAGGAGCTTGCAGTTGTTTGAAGTCATATGTTTGCTTCAAACATTTTGAATACTAGAATCACTCGTAGTGAGGGGCATGTGTTGTGTAGAAAATGGTTTACAGTTGTTAAGGTTCCAACATAAAACCAATTGGCAATATGTGGAGTAGCCTAACATGTATTTAAACCATACCAGATGACATGAGGTAGGCGATGTGGGACTTTCAACACACCCCCTCCAACGAAGCCTGCCGGACCAGGCAAAGAGTACTTTTGACCCATGACAATAACCGGAAAGATGTTAGGCTTTGGCTCTGATACCATGTTAAGGTTCCAACATAAAACCAATTGGCAATATGTGGAGTAGCCTAACATGTATTTAAACCATACCAGATGACATGAGGTAGGCGATGTGGGACTTTCAACAACAGTCATGGCTATATATTGCTCTAAGAAAAAAAGTTAGTTCTATTATTATTTGTGATACCTATATTGGGTGGGGGGGGGGGGAGGGAGGCAGTTTCATTTTCTTGGCTCTTTTAACTTTATATCAGTGAAGCTATTCTGACAATCCTCTAAAGACATAAAACAGTATCTAAATGATGTCTTTGGCTTTGCATTGTGGTGGACTAGTTCAATCATATTTTAATTTCACCTGTACATTGCATTGCATCTCTGAGTTTATTTAGAATTTCTGTTTGTACATTCGATACAAAGTAGCTGAGAATGTTACCATTTTGAGTTCATGTTCATCAAGAAATAGCAATTTCAAACTATGAAGTCACGATTGGTGGTCTCGGCTATAAGTCGTTTTTCGTTCTTTCTTTTCTTTCAAATTGTGAACCTTACAGCTAGGGGTGTAACGAGTAATCAAATCATCGTATTTGTGCTTTTGATGTATGGTAATCTTGCTTTCTGATGTTTACCATTTCTAGCTATATGCTTCAGGTTACTGCACCATCACTTTTATAACTGTTGGACTGTAGGAGGAAGAAGAATCTATTTGAAAGAAATGTTAATTCATACCTTCAAAGAAAGACCTAAGAACTTCTATGCAATTGCGGATTACATATTTGTTTCAGACATTTTGAATATTAAGATCCTAGTACAGTGCTGCTGGTACAGTTTAGAAGATGGTTTATGCTTGTGGCTGTAAATTTTTTCAGATTCCATCTTAAATAAAAGTCCCAGGATTGAGATGAGCAATGGAGACCCTATAACACTTCTTCCTTCACGCGTGAATTTACTATAATAAGTCATATATCAAGATGGGTCATAGATTTTGATATCATGTTAGATTCATTTAAAACCTTTTAAGCATCGATGTGTTGGTTAGACCAATGTATAGAGCTAATCTTATTTTAATATTTGTGATTTATCTTTATTGAAAATTCAAGTGTGTTTGAAATCCCATATTGGATAAAAATGGGAAAGTTGAGTAACTCATAACGTAGTGCCTTAAGATTTTGAGTTGAAAGTGGTATCATATTCTCTTATATGGTTGACTCGTGTCCCATTTATAAGAATTTCCCTATTGTTAGCCTCCCTCTCCAAAGAGCCAACATTGGTATCAGAGTCGATGGTTGTCGATGGTTCGTCCGGTGACTAATTCAGTTGAGTATGCTTAGAGTAGATGAAAGATCCTATATTATGGATCTTTGTGTTGAAAGTCTTCTTGACAAGGGTTTCAGGTACGCGAGTCTCGTTAAGTTGAACAAAGGTCAATATTAAAGCTTCCGCTCAAGGGGGTGTCGTACTAATGTGAAAGGGAATCACATTTGAGGAGAAGACTGTTGAGAATTGAAGTGTGTTCGAAGTCCCACATTGGATAAAAATGGAAAAGTTGAGTAACTCATAAGTGAAAAAATTCATAACCTAATGCCTTAATGATTTAGGTTGAAAGTGGTGTCATATTCTCTTATATGGTTGACTCGTATCCCATTTGTGAAAAATCTTCCTGTTCTTAGCCTCCCTCAAAAGACTTAACAATCTTTTTGCAAAGGCTACTCTTGAGCAAGATTTGACAACAAATCTTTCTCAAGATGGGGGGTTTGATGAAAAAATATCTAAGGAGTAACATCAAAGAAAACCCTCCTATTATGGAGCATAGTTTACTAGGGAAATTATTTTCTTAGTTTTGTAAAAATTGTACAAGATTTTATTTTCCCTTGTAATTTTAAGAATTTGTAGAAGCACATGTGGACTTGGATTGAGCCCCTTGAATTGGGCTTGAAAACTTGATTGCACACATAGAAGGCATACTCAAATTCAACAAAGTAAAGAGAGAAGACAAAATGAAGCCATAACTTCTAAAACTTATTAAAAATATCTTTGAATTCCGAATACAAAGTTCCACACACGCAAATTGAAGCCCTAAACATAAGGAATCTAATGGAATAAAAATCAGTAAAAAAAGGACATCTATAAAAAAAATTATGACCAAAAGAGTGGACAAAGGTCAAATTAAAATACGAAATTAAAGAAACCAAGTCCCTAAAATATGTGTATTTCCAAGTCTCATATTACTTGGTTCATGATGTGCAAAGGGTTAGCTCATTATAAATAAGATCCCCTTGCACCTTCAACTTGAATTGCACTTCTTATTTGTTTGTTTTCTTATTCCTTTTTGAGTCAAAATGAGAATAATCTTCTCCTAATTCTTCATCAAGTATCCTTCCTTAAAGAGAGAGCAAACTGAGTTCCTTAAGGACTTGGGAGTTTAGAATAATTTTGGTCGCACTTGAGTGAAAGAGGAGAAAATTACCACCAAAACCATTACTGATGTGCTAAAATGGTTCACATTATAAATCACTTGATGGCTTAGGAAAGTTTTTTGACATAGAATAGTTGAATATCAAAGTGCAGAAATGTCTGGATAGAAACTAGCAGCCTAAGGTCATTACAATCTCTAAATCCAAGGATTTATCAACAAGGACTACTGCATCATTATTTGTTAAGTTGAAAAAGAATGAAATAAAAATTAACAAGTTTAATGAGCAAGAAAGCTATGATAGGTATTGTAAAAACATTTTCTTGAACTCTACTATTAAAAAGAAAGAAGAAACTGAAGAAGAATCTAAGGAGTATAATGACTTAGAGAATTTGAAGATTCTTGAAGAAAAGAGGTGCAGAACATACGTTGTGTATTTCTTATTTTGGAAAAGATACAAAGGAGGTATAAATAAAATACAAGGTAATAAACCTATACATTAATCTATCCCTGAAAATCAGAGAAATATTCTTCCTATAAATGTTGTACATAATTGTGCATAAATAACGAACTAAAAGTAATTATATTATTATTAAATCATATCATAATTGAATTATTCTAATTGATAGTGCTGATCTCCAACACTCCCCCTCAATCTGCGTGGTGTTAAACATACAAGGATATGAAGCTTGAAGATTTTGATGATCATTCAAGAACAAAGGACTTAGAGATTTGAAGACTTGTAATCTTATGAAATAACTCTGTTTAATGTTTTTGAGTCTGTAAAATTAGAATCCAAGATAGCCAGCACATAGTCCATCCTCTAAAACCTCTAAAAGCTCATTTTTATAAAAAATACACTGTGATAATCGATTATCACTCAGGATAATCGATTATCACAGGAAAATAAATGATTATTTGACCACATAATCAATTATCCTGGTCCTGTTTTGCTCTTATGCGAAAATGGCTCTGGAATAATCGATTATCACTCAAGATAATCGATTATTTACGTATGTTATGAGTTTTGAAATTCAAATCTGGACCAATTTACGAAAACCCTATTCCCAATTCTTCTGTTTTTGAAAATCACCATTTTCTAGACCTTATTCTCTCTACTTAAGGTTCTCTAAGGCTCTCTGCAAAAATAAAAAAAACCTTTTTCATACAAAAGTTAAGAGTTGTGACTGCGAGAACTTTCTATAGGGAAGAAAAAGGGGCTTTTGGAAACCTAGTGTGGGCTAGAAGCAATAAGAATCATTGAGTGGGTTTCTTGGTGGATTGTGTGTTGTGTCGTCTCTAGGAAAAACTATTGTTCATCCTTTATGGATTCAAAGGAGGTGTTCATCTCTTGTGTGACTCAAGAGAGGTGTTTTCTATTCCTTATCTTTTCAATTTGTAATCTGTTTGTAAGTTGTGATTATAGGGACAACGTTAATCCTCTTTTTGAGTGATTAGCAACTGGACGTAGGGTCTTTTGATCCGAACCAGTATAAATCAACTGTGTAATCTTCTTTTCCTTATCTATTTACTTTACAAAACATTTTAATCGGTGAAATTTGGGAAAAATTTTAAAACCCTAATTTTTGTTTAAGAAACCAATTCACCCCCCCTCTTTGTTTTTGTCCCTAAACACAAACATTTCGTTGTGCGATTCTAACAACTGGTATCAGAGTTTGCTTTGATAGTCATTCAAATTTCGAAAATGGTCGGACAAAACCAAACATTTGCCGAGGGTGCTTCTATCAATAGACCCCCACTTTTTGCGGGGCAAAATTATCCTTTTTGAAAGAATGCAAATATTTTTGGAGTCTATTGATAAGGGTGTATGGGATGTAATTTTAAATGGTCTTTTTATTCCTAAAGTTACTGAAAATGGAGAAGAGGTACCAAAACCATTTGCTAGATGGTCGACTGAAGAAAATAGGAAAGCCCAATATGAAGTTAGGGCTAGAAATATAATTTCATCTACTTTAACCCTTGATGAGTTTTATAGGATATCTGTTTGCAAGAGTGCTCAAGAAATGTGGGAAATGTTAAGAGTAACCCACGAAGGTACCGATGATGTTAAAAGAGCACGGAAGAATTCATTGATTCAAGAATATGAGATGTTCCAGATGCAACAAGGAGAAACGATTTTTGATGTTCAAAAGCATTTCACACATATTGTGAATCATCTCACTTGGTTAGGTAAGATTTTTGATATTGATGAGTTAGATAAAAAAATTCTTAAATCTTTGGATAGGAAATGACAACCAAAGGTGACGACCATCACGGAGTCACAAAATCTTGCTACCATGTCTATGGCGGCTCTCTTTGGAAAGTTAAGAGAGCATGAACTTGAATTCGGAAGGCTAAATGATGAAGAAGGCCAATACCAAAGGAGAAACCTTGCCTTCAAAACTGAAGTTTCTAGGAGCAAGAACAAGAAGGAGGAAGAAGACTTAGAAAATGAAGAAGATGAAAACTTGAGTCTTATGATCAAGAAATTTACAAAGTTCATGAAAGCCAAAGAGAAGCAACCCTTCAAAGGTAAGGGAAAGGTAAAAGAAAGTACTTCCTTAAATTTTAAATGTTACGGTTGTGGTGAAACAGGACATGTAAAAGCCGATTGTCCAAACAAGAAAAATGAAGATCATAAAGGCAAGAAATTCTTCAAAAAGAAAGCCTATATTGCTTGGGATGATAGTGACTCGAGTTCAGAGTCAAGTGATTCGGAAGTTGAAGCAGACATTTGTTTGATGGCAAATGACAACATTTCTTCCGATTGTGAGGAAACTTCAAAATTCAAGAAGTTTATGTGGTATCTTGACAGTGGATGTTCAAGACATATGACCAGAGACAAAAAGAAATTTGTGAGTTTCAAAGCAAAAGAACAAGGATATGTAACTTATGTGGACAACAACAAAGGAAGAATCCTTGGAACCCCAAACATTGGTGGTGAAAATACTTTGGAGATAAAGGATGTGCTTCTTGTTGATGGGCTAAAGCATAATCTACTAAGTATAAGTCAACTTTGTGATAAAGGATTTAAGGTAATATTTGAAAGTAAGTTTTGCACCATTCATTTAAAGGATTCCGAAAATATAACATTAAAAGGTATTAGGCATAATAATATCTATTTGATTGACTTGGATTGTGTATCTAATACTAATATAACATGCTTAGTTGCTAAGGAAGAAAATCCTTGGTTATGGCATAAGAGAGTGACTCATATAAACAAGCATCAATTAAACAAACTAATATCAAAGGACTTAGTTATTGGTTTGCCTAAGTTACAATTTGAAAAAGATAGATTATGTGATGCATATCAAAAAGGTAAACAAGTGAAATCATCCTTTAAATCTAAGAAAGTTATTTCCACATCAAAACCTTTAGAAATTTTACACTTAGATTTATTTGGTCCATCTAGGATAAAAAGTTTTGGTGGAAATTACTATGCTCTTGTAATTGTTGATGATTTTTCTAGATACACTTGGACATTTTTCTTAACTTTAAAAAGTGAAGCTTTTAAGGTCTTTAGGAAGTTTGCCAAGCAAATTCAAAATGAGAAAGACTTAAGAATTAAAGTGTTAAGGAGTGACCATGGTAGAGAATTTCAAAATGAATCCTTTGAAAATTATTGTGAAGAAAATGGAATTTTACATAATTTTTCTGCACCTAAGAACTCCCCAACAAAATGGTGTAGTAGAAAGAAAAAATAGGTCACTAGAGGAACTTGCTAGACCAATGTTAAATGAATCAAATGTTCCTAAATATTTTTGGGTTGATGCTGTAAGTACTGCATGTTATGTATTGAATAGGATGTTTATTAGGCTAATCATAAAATTAACTCCTTATGAATTATTAAATGGTAGGAAGCCTAATGTTTCTCATTTAAAAATATTTGGATGTAAATGCTTTGTTTTAAATAATGGAAAAGATAACTTAGGAAATTTTGACTCAAAAACCGATGAGGCCATTTTCTTAGCTTATTCACTAACTAGCAAAACATATAGAGTATTCAATAGAAGAACTTTGAATATTGAAGAGTCTGTACATGTTACCTTTGATAAAATTGTAGACCTTGAGGGAAATCCTCTTGAGTCAAATAAAGAATTTGCAGGTGATGATGAGTACATAAGAGAAGTTTTAGAAGAAATGTACTTAAATGAGAATGAGTTATCTCAACCAACTGAATTGGCAAAAGAATGGCAACCACCAAGAGGACTTTCAATGGACAATATAATTGGTGATATCTCAAAAGGGGTAAGAACTAGAAATATGATAAATTTCTGTATGTCTGTAGCTTTTGTTTCACAGATTGAACCCAAAACTGTTAAGGAAGCTCTTAAAGATGACCAATGGTGCATAGCAATGCAAGAAGAACTTAATCAATTTGAAAGAAATCAAGTATGGGAATTAATTCCAAGAGAAGAATCTCATTAAGTTATTGGAACAAAATGGGTATTTAGAAACAAACTTGATGAAGATGGAAATATAACAAAGAACAAAGTCAGACTTGTTACCAAAGGTTACTATCAAGAGGAAGGTATTGATTATGATGAAACTTATGCTCATGTTGCCAGGTTAGAGGCTATACGCCTACTTCTTGCTTATGCCTCATTGATAAAATTTAAACTTTATCAAATGGATGTTAAAAGTGCATTTTTGAATGGGTTTATCAAAGAGGAAGTATATGTGGAATAACCCCCTGGCACTACTGCAGAAAAGGCTTTTTACGTCGGTTAAAATGGGCCTTCTATGTCAGTTAAAGCGGCGACATAGATACAGGTGTCATAGAAAGTAAGCCTTTCTACGTCGGTTATCTACGTCGGGTTAGTCAGGGAACCGACGTAGAAAGTCTTACTTTCTATGTCGGTTAACACTGATAACCGACATAGAAAGTCTTACTTTCTAACTTTCTATAACCCCAGTATCTATATCGGTTAACAGTAACCGTGATTGTATGTGATATCAATGTCGGTTATGCTTATAACCGACATAAAATGTTAAACTTTCTACGTTGGTTAACAGTAACCGTGATTGTATGTTATATCAATGTCGGTTATGCTTATAACCGACATAAAATGTTAAACTTTCTACGTCGGTTATGTCATTAACCGACGTAGAAAGTACTTTCTACGTCGGTTAATGACATAACCGATGTAGAAAGTGTTATTTTTTTTTTACAGAGCCAGCAGTTTCTTCACAGATCCTACCTTTCTTCGAGTAGACCTGCCTATTCATCATAGTTCCAGACAAATATTCAGAGTTCCAAACATTTGTACAGACAAATATGCACAGTTTATATATATATAGTTTCAGACAGATATATATGTACATATATGAAACATATTGAAATCAATATATGTACCTCAGTTGCAGACAGTTCATATTTACTTAAACGAATGTAAATTTGCTAACTTAAATCAATTCAATCAAAATTGTT